CAAAGACTTCTTAAATAAAACTTTTTTTTTTTTTCCTGCAAATGTGTGGTGGTGGAGGATATAGTAACTACTAGCAATTTGGTACAACGGCCTTGATTCATGCTAAAGCACTTACAATTTAACCCATCATTGATTTTGTATGATCAGTGCAAATGTGAACATACTGGGAAAGTCAGATAAGGCTATAATATTATTAAGAGAATGTTTTTGACTTCCTGGACCCTCTGAGGTATTTTGGGGGGATCTGAGGACCACACTTCGAGAACTGATGATCTAGAATGTGAGCAGTATAAAAGCAGTGTTTCCTTTGTTTACTCTTATATTTTCAACACTGTTCTATCTAGAACAGTGCCTAGCACACAGTAGGTGATTAACAAATATTTCCTAAGTGGATTAATAAAACAAAAATAAATGGGAGATGCTTTATAGAAAGCAGAATAATAATTTAGGATGTATTGCTAACATGTGCCACAAAATAGTATAAAAATCTAGTTTCAGGGATCCCTGGGTGGCGCAGCAGTTTAGCGCCTGCCTTTGGCCCAGGGCGCGATCCTGGAGACCCAGGATCGAATCCCACATCGGGCTCCCGGTGCATGGAGCCTGCTTCTCCCTCTGCCTATGTCTCTGCCTCTCTCTCTCTCTCTCTCTCTCTGTGTGTGTGTGACTATCATAAATAAATTAAAAAAATTTAAAAAAAAAATCTAGTTTCATTATTACCATTTTCTTTCATAAAGAGCCCATTGACTACTAAATTATGAACAAAAAGACTAAAGGATGTATGTGAAGGAAGAGGTGTGAAATGTACCAGAATCAGAATAAATGCAATTTTTTTTCCCTCAGAAGCCCAGAGCCTTCCGAGATCTTCTAGCCTAATTCCTTCATTTTTGCAATGAGAAAACGTAGCAGCCTGGGAGGCTCAATGACTAGCCCAAAGTCTTAGAGTTAGCGTCAGGACTAAAATACAGGACTTTTACTTTTTTTCTTACGTATAGAAATGCTGGCCAAAATAATAGCTTCTGGTGGAGTACCTTGCTCCTCCTCCAAACAGCTCAGGCTGGAGACAGGCAAAGACTGCCTGGGGAGTCAGGCTAACCCCAGGTAACTGTGAAGAGGAAAAGATTCAGGCTCTGAGAAGTAAGCCAAGGGAGCCTGATCCCTAAACGGAGGGCCTTGGAGCCATACTGGATAGTAACATGGGTTGGGCCAGAGACTGAAAAGGCCCCAACGGAGAAGAATGGCTTTGGTATTTTCCAGCAGGGAGCTATTGGTGTTTTCTATGAACTGTCCTGCACTTTTCAAGCTGTTTACCATCCCTGCCCTCCACCCACCAAATGCCAGTGAATTCCAACTCACTGTGACAACTGAAAATGCCCTGCTCATTTTCAAATGCCCACTAGAGGGTCTGTATCACCCCTGATTACTCTGACTACCATTTATCGCATATGTACTAATAAACACTTGCAGATGGATATGATGGGACACAGTTTGGAGATGTTTCTCTTCCTCACAGGCTTTTTGTTTCTCCTCCCCCACCACCAGTCCTCCCCCCTACACCCACTGAATCGATAGCATTCATGCCTCCAGGACGAAGGTAAACATAGCTAAGAACAAACAAGACAACTAAATTTCTGAATGGGGGTTTTTGTTGTTGTTTAGTTTTCAAAGTGAGTGACTTTTATTTTTCTCTGACATTATACAATCAATTTCTACAAAATTTTAAGATCTCCAGAGAAAATCGGAATGGAATTTTAAAATCAAAGCTGAAACAGTAGGCTTTTTATTATAACAGAGGTTTCTTAAAGGAGGAAACATAGGATTTTTTTTTTTTTTTAAGTTTTAAATCAGTTTGAGGTTGGAGAACTCAGGGGAGATTGTTTACACCATAAGCCGATGAGTTAGGAGGTATGACGTTGTCCATGAGAAGAAAACAAAAGTTCAATCTGCTGGATGGAGCAGAGAATGTGAAGGTTTGTTACTATAATTTAGATGCAGACGGTGCCTCAGAAAGGATCGTACCTCCCATTTGTTCTGAGTCAGCTGAGAGGACAGGAAATTTCCTAGAGGGAGACAGGAAGGACTTCAAAGCAGAGAGGATCTTCACCTTGCTTCCAGCAGGCCTCACCGAGAGGGCCCCTGTTCACCATCCTGCTGAGGCAGAGTGACCCAGGCACTCTATCCACCCTCCAGGATGCTGAGCATCCAACAGTTGTCTCCTGTTGGAGATACAGCACATGAGCAGCACATAAGTGGCAGGATGGGAGGGACCTTGAGGCCAGGAGGGGGATGCAGACATGGGGTAGGGGAGAAAGGAGCTGACAACCAAAGACTAGAGGCCACTGCTTATCCCGGCAGATCCTGGTCCAGGTGACTCTGAGGTCAGTACAACAAACAAATTCCCAGAAAAGGAGAAAGGAAGATAGAGGGGCAAATTCCTGGACTGACCAAGTTTAAAAGTAAAAAATTGCAAAGTTTATGGAAAAAGGTCAAGTTCTGGGCTCCTAAGTGAAAGAGGGCTTAGGAACTAAGTACAGTAATAAAGACTTCAAGATTGCAGGAAATTCATCCTTAATGCAGTAGTGAATACTTACACCTTCTTTGCTTAAGCCCTTTAAATTTGCAGAAGGCACTTAGATGCCAAATATCGGCTGTTTGTTTAGGGTTTGTTGTTTGTGTGGCTTTGATGACTTGACAAACAAGTGCTCATTTTATTCTCTGTGATTGGAAATACCACTGAGGTAGCTCCTAACTATATAAAAGAGGCTGAAGATTGGTTAATTTTGTTGTTATCAATGGATGAGATATTTCAGCTGGAATCTGTCCATTTTAAAAATCAGTGGAATATTTGCCCTCTTTTGTACAAACTAGTTTTAAAATCAGCTGCCACTCAAAATAGACTTTAAAACAAAGACTAACAAGAGACAGAAAGGCATTACATAATGATAAAGGGATCAATTCAACACAAGTACAAGATACAGGGGCGCCTGGGTGGATCAGTAGGTTAAGCCTCTACCTAAATGCGTGATCTGAAGACATACAGCATCTAGAAGAAAACATATGTAGTAATCTCTTTGACATTAACCTTAGCAACATTCTTCTAAATATGTCTCCTTAGGCAAGGGAAACAAAAGCGAAAACAACAATAATAACAACAACAAACTATGGGGACTACACCAAAATAAAAAGCTTTAGCAGAGTAAGGAAACCATCAGAAAAATGAAAAGGTAACCTACTAAATGACAGAAGATACTCACAAATGAAATCTTTGATAAGGGGTTTATATACAAAGTATTTAAAGAACTTATATAGCGCAAGACCAAAACAAAATAACCCCAAAATCAACCTAAATAAAAAATGGGCAAACAAGGGCACCTGAGCGGCTCAGTCTATTAAGTGACTGCCTTCAGCTCAGGTCATGATCTCAGAGTTCAGGGATCCAGCCTCGTGTTCAGCTCCCTGCTCAACAGGCTTTGTTTTCCTTTCTTCCTCCCCACCCCACCTTCCTCCCCTGCTTGTGCATACTCGCTCTCTCTCAAATAAATAAAATCTTTTTTTTTTTAATGGCAGAGGACCTGAATAGACTTTTCCCAAAGAAGACATATAGATGGTTACCAGGTACATAAAAAGATGCTCAACATCAGTAATCGTTAGGTAAATGCAGGGGAAAAAATGTGAGATATCACCTTACACCTGTCAGAATGGCTAGTATCAAAAAGAGAAAAAATAACAGTGTTGATGAGGATGTGGAAAAAAGAGAACTCTCATGCATTGTTGATGGGAATGTAAATACAGTGGTTTCACTGTAGAAAACAGTATGGAGGTTGCTTGATATAAAAAATAGAAATACCATATGATCCAGTAATTCCACTACTGGACACCTATCCAAAGAAACAAACACTAATTTGAGAAGATATATACATCCTTATGTTTATTGCAGCATTATTTACAATGGCCAAGATATGGAAGCAACCCAAGTGTCCAACAGTAGTTGAATGGATAAAGAAGAGGTGGTATATACACGCAATGGAATATTACTCAGTCATTAAAAAAAGAGTGAAATCTTGGGGCACCTGGGTGGTGTAGTTAGTTGAGCATCTGACTCTTGGTTTCAGGTCAGGTCGTGATCTCAGGGTTATGAGATCAAGCCCTAAATCAGGCTCTGACTCAGTGTGGAGTCCCCTTGAGTTTCTCTGCCTCTCTCCCTCACAAGTGCATGTGCTCTCTCTCAAGTAAATCTAAAAAAAGAGTGAAATCTTCCCATTCACAACAACATGGATGGGTCTAGAGGGTATGATGCTAAGTAAAATAAATCAGTTAGAGGAAGACAAATACCACATGATTTCATTACATGTGGAATCTAAAACACAAAACAAATGAATAAGCAAAGCAGAAAAGACCCATAAATGCAGAGACAAATTGGTTATTGCCAGAGGGGAGAAGGGTAGGAGGATAGGCAAAATCCTAGGTGAGGGGGATTTGGCAAAATCCTAGGTGAAGGGGATTTGGAAGTACAGGTTTCCAGTTATGGAGTAAATAAGTCACAGGAATGAAAAGTACAGCATAGAGAATATAGTCTCAATGGTATTGTAATAGTACTGTATGGTGACAGAGGGTAGCTGCCCTCGTAAGCAAAGCATATAGGGTTGTAGAATCAACATGTTGTACACCTGAAACTTATGTAATACTATATGTCAACAATACTTCAATAAAAAATAGAATTTAAAAATAAGAAAAATAAATATTAACTATCACTAAGAAAACAAGGTTTCACACCTTGTAGAGGTTTTTACATTTAGATGTCATTAACATTCAGATGTTAAATTTGGTATACATATCCAGTGTACAGACTCAGCTTGCCTGTGGAGATGACCAAAATGGGCATTTTTATCTTACTGCATGCACTCATTCCAAGTAAACCTCAAGTTGATTTCCTTGTTTTGATACTGGTAAGAAGCTTATGTTTTACATTAGTAAATTTTGCCTTTCTCTCTTTCTCTTTCCAGAAAAGAAGAGAATTTCAGCTTGTTCTCAAAGAATACCAAAATAGTCTAAGAAAGAAAAAAAAAGTCTTAAGCTCTCATAAGCACATAATCAGATCTTACCATCTTTCATGGGGCCTATTGTTTGGTAAGTTGTATTTTATGTTCCAAAAGAGCGAAGTGGCAGTATTCTAATACACTTCAAGTTTTGCAACAAAGTCCTGTAAAATTTCATGTTCTCATCATTAAATACGTGTTTTTTTTAAGTGCGCCTTATGTCTAAGTGATAAAACAAAGAAATGTGCTGAAGTTAGTCTATTTTATTACATACCTGACACCTTTTGTGGTTGAATTTGATTACTTGATTCATGAAAAAAATTTGCAAGCTTGGCTTTCTGGTCATTTTTGATAGCCTGTGGTTCATTCTGTTGCTTAGGAGCTTTGCATTCTGCTTTTTATTTGTTGATTTGTTTTACTTTTCAATGAAAAGAAGTTGGTATCTCTAATGCTATCTATGCTTTAGTTAAGCAAAGAATCAAGAGAACATTTCTTAGTCTTCTTAATCATATTAATGTTCTCTCTGGTGAAGATGACTGAGGCCTGAATGGAGAGAGAGTTGTGAATTTAAAATTTCTTTTCTTCTTTTGATCACTCTGTTCTGTAAGTAACATAGGAAACATAAAAACAAAATTCTGAGAACTAACTTCTAAAGCTCAACTTTTAGAAACCAAGAAAAAACATGACTTAAAAACTGAGTATTAGTCACTGAGCATGCCAAGCAACGTATTTCTTACTCTTGTAACTACTTTTTCAAACAGGTTAAAAACTGATAAGAAGCTCTTGGGAAACTCTCATCAGTCATTGCAAAAAATAGGTTAACCCATCCTAATCTGGCAAAGACTTAAAAGGCCTAAATTCCTAAAAGCATTAGGGGATATATATATTTTTTCTATTTGCTAAGTATTCTGAGTAAGAGTCATTTTTGTTACAACAAATTCAGAGTTAAAATATCTTTTTATTCATGTGATATGTTCTGTGAGCACATTTGCAGCCTATAAAAGAGAAGGTTACTTAAGCTGACTCTGCAGAACATTGCAGGAAGTGTTGATTAGAATTTGCACATTTGTTCTGAGTTTGTGAATCCCAAACAGGTTTGCTAAGAGAGAAGCAGTGGCTTTTTCACAACTGCTCAGCTCTAGATTATGGCTACCTTTGTGTGTTTCCTATGTAGTGAGAGCTGAAATATTTCACAAAAGCTTTTTCTGCATAGGCTTTATCCATCATGTCTCAAAAATCTTAGTAGTTATACATTCCAGTTATACTTTAATGAATCAGCATGACTAATCTGTTCAAAGGTGCTTTTCTTTTCAGCTGACAACACATTCTAGAAAAAAATATTGAGGGGGCACCTGGATGGCTCAGTCAGTTGTGCACGGGCTCTTGGATCCGGCTCAGGTCATGATTTCAGGAGCGAGATCAAGTCCCAGGCCTGGGTCCACACTTAGTGGGGATTCTGAAGATTCTCTTCTTTTTGCCCCCACTCACACATGCTTTCTCTCCCTCTCTCTCTCAAATAAACAAATCTTTAAAAAAAAGAAAAAAAGAATATTGAGAGACTGAAAGAGGAAGACAGTTTATTTTAAAAAAGGATATGGGGGAAAAAAAAAGGAGATAGGGGATCCCTGGGTGGCTCAGTGGTTTAGTGCCTGCCTTTGGCCCAGGGCCTGATCCTGGAGTACCAGGATTGAGTCCCACATCAGGCTCCCTGCTTCTCCCTCTGCCTGTGTTTCTGCTTCTCTCTCTGTGTCTCTCATTAATAAATAAATAAAATCTTTTTAAAAAATAAAATAAAATAATTAAAAAGGAGATAAAGAGAGCCATTTATAGGGTTCAGTGTTTCTTAAAGACCTTGAGTTTATTTACTTTCATGAGTCTCTTCCTTAAGAACTGTGTATTCTTGGGCAGCCCCTGTGGCTTAGTGATTTAGTGCCGCCTTCAGCCCAGAGCATGATCCTGGAGACCCAGGATCGAGTCCCACATCAGGCTACCTGCATGGGGCCTGCTTCTCCCTGTGTGTGTGTGTGTGTGTGTGTGTGTGTGTGTGTCTAATTTAAAAAAAAAAAGAACTGTGTATTCTTTAGTTATATTTAAGGATGGGAGAGACAAGTTAATAAAGGGAAATTGTCATCACTCCTACCAACTCACTCTATACCATATTCAGAATATCTCAGTGGGATGGTTTCTAAGGCTATACCTCACCTTTAACAGAAATATGCATAAGACAGGGAAAGACAAAAATCACTATGGTGGCTTAATCATTACAGAAGGCTTCCAGAAATAATATTTCAAATTGTCCCCTTGGTACCCTTGAGATTTTACATCTTGGGACAAGGTTGCAGATGACCCTTCCTTGAGAGAAGGGTCACTGTGAAAGGGGAGGTGGGTAGGAGAACTTGCAAAATGTTTTTGTGGATAGATCAGTTTTAGGAAAAAGGACAAATGAAAGTTGAGGATCTGGAAATAAAATTTCTCCTGACAACAGTGCTCCTTGGAAAGTATTCACATACTTGTGAGTGTTTCTATAACTCAGGTTAAAGACTATTATCTTTTTTTTTTTTTTTTTTTTTAGATTTTATTTACTTATTTGAGAGTGAGAGAGAGCACAAGCAGGGGAGGGGCAGAGAGAGAGGGAGAAGCAGGCAACTCTCTGAGCAGGGAGCCTGATGTGGGACTCCATCCCAGGACCCTAGGATCATGACCTGAACCGATGGCAGATGCTTAACCAACTGAACCACCCAGGCACCCAAAGACTACTGTCCTAAATAATCCCAGTAGGGAAGAAAAAGGTATTTTAAAACACCAAGAGTGACTGCAGAGGCACTCCCTTACAGAGCCCAAAATATGAAATGATGGATAGATGTGTACATTTACATAAATACTAGAGAGCAGCGTGACCCTTGAATAATAAAACTGGGAAAAGCAGAATCCATGATGAACTTAGAGATGTGAAAAATACTTTTAAAAAGAGGAGGGGTGGTGGTGATTGAGGGCCCTTGTAAGGTCATGTTCATAGCAAGAACAAAACCATAAAGACTGAGGAAAGATGATGTAATGTTAAAAGATAATAGAGAAAGCAGAACTAAACAATGCCTCTTTTTCTCCATTCTTCTCTCAGTAATTATCTTCATATGAAAAGGGTAAAAAAGTAATGGTAGGAGGGACCATAAATGCAACGAAGGTAAGAAACAGTTAAGTTAATTGAATTATTTTAATGAGTTTGTTTTTATGCCCAGATAAATTGTGTCCTGAGATATTTAGAGAACTTGTAGTTGTAATCATGTAACCACAGTTAACAATATTAGAAAATAATCTTAGAAATAGAAAGTCAGCATAGATTCACTAAGAATCAATGCTGTCAGGGACGCCTGGTGGCTTAGTGGTTGTGCATCTGCCTTTGGCTGAGGACGTGATTCCAGAGTCCCAGGATTGAGTCTCACTTTGGGCTTCCTTTAGGGAGCCTGCTTCTCCTTCTGCCTGTGTCTCTGCCTCTCTCTCTCTCTCTGTGTCTCTCACGAATAAATAAATTGAAAAAAAAATCAATACTGTCAAACTAATCTTACATCTAAGAACTTATTACTCAACTTAAGAAGACCTAGTCTTTGTATCTTTTTCATTTAACATTATATTAGAGCATTTCTTTAAAATTTCTTATTAAATATTCTTCTATACTATAATTTTAGATAGCTACATACATAGCTCAATTGTTTGAATATATCCTAAATTGCTTAACCAGCCCACCATGGTCAAGTTTAGACCATTTCACATTTTTGGCTTTTAAAACCCATGCTATAATTAAGATCACTTAACATAAAGCTTTATAAATTACTATTTTTTAAATTTTAGGTAAAATTCCCAGAAGGGAAATAAATGAATCAATGGTATCATATTTCTTTTTTTTATATAAAATGGCATTATAAAAAATGGCATTATATTTCAAAGGCCATTTAATAAGTATCACCAAAATTGCTTCCAGAAAGAAGTACCTATTTATATTATCAACAATAATATATGAATAACTATTTTCCCAACCCTCATAATTACTGGGAGACTTTGGTAGAAAAACTTCATATTGGTGATTTTTTTTTATTGTGGTAAAATATACACACCATACAATTTACTATCTTAATCACTTTTTTAAAAAGATTTTATTTATTTATTCATGATAGACATAGAGAGAAAGAGAGAGAGAGAGGTAGAGACACAGGCACAGGGAGAAGCAGGCTCCATCCGTGGAGCCTGACATGGGACTTGATCCCGGGACTCCAGGATCACGTCCTGGGCCAAAGGCAGGTGCTAAACCTCTGAGCCACCCAGGAATCCCCCCTTAATCACTTTTAAGTATATAATTCAGTAGTATTGAGTACATTCATAATATACAACCGACACCACTACTTCCAGAACTCTTTCATCATCCCAGACAGAAACTCAGTATCCATTAAACAAAGAAAAATTTAAAAATAAATATTAAAAAATATTGCCATTATCTTGCTCTGTTATTCAATCCCATCAGCAATACTCTCCCCCCTTCCTAATGTCTTAGAATTCTTCTGTATTAGAATAGGACAGGCTGTACCATGGTAGCAAATCCAAAATCTTGTGGCTTACACAACAAGAATTTATTCTTCAGTCAAGTTACATATTTGATGCCAGTCAGCAAGTACACATGCTTCTCAGTCTTTCAGAGGTTCAGGCTAATGGAGACCCAATCATGTAATTGCTTAATAGTTTGCATGATTGCTGAGGCAGGGCAAGAAAGTGTGAGCTTTGAGGCAGCAGTCAAATGCTTCAGCCTGGAAATGGCACATGCCACTTAATAAGAACTTGGTTACAACTAATAACACAGTGGAGGAAAAAAAAAAAACACAGTGGAGGGTGACAAGTATATTCCTCCCATGCTACCTAAAAGAAAATTGGGTATGGGTGACCACTAGAAGTTCTACATCTTTCTTTGTACCCTTACTGATATATTTAAATTTTTGCACTTATTATCCCATTAGTGAAGCCCACACATTAATGTTTCATCTTATGTAATGCCATAAGAAATCCTAGAATAAGTAGGGACTCCTGGGTACCTCAGCGGTTGAGCATCTGCCTTTGGCTCAGGGTGTGATCCCATAGTCCTGGGACTGAGTTCCACAGATGGTTTCCTGCAGGGAGCCTGCTTCTCCCTCTGCCTGTGTCTCTGCCTCTCTCTCTGTGTCTCTCATGAATAAATAAATAACATCTTTTAAAAATATCCTAGAATAAGTGAAACAATTAATTTAGAAGAATAGTAATTTGGTCTAAGGGAAAAGTCATATGTCATGGAGTAATATATAAATGCTCTGCTATGGCTAACATATTAAATTACCATCTTTGGGCCCAGGTTTCTTCATAAATTCTAACTTTTGAAGTAGATGCTAAACTTTTTAGTGGCATTGGGCCCTCTGGTTTTCATGTGGTTAGGCATGTCACTGTGCATACCCCTTGGAAGATAAGAAATACTGACAAACATTTGACAAGTTCATTAGCAACGTTTTTGAGAAATGGGAAATCAGAATTTAATGTTTCACTAGACATGCACTCTTTTAGCTCATTTCTGCCAAATTTTTTTAATACAAAAAAATAGTTAGCAAACAGTAGAGTATTAGGTTATGTAACTATAGCCATAGAGTTCAGACCACTGTCTATATGCTCTAGGGCAGCTCTAGTAAATCCTCATTTCCTTATTTATTATTTATTTATTTATTTATTTATTTATTTATTTATTTATTTATTTATTTAAAGATTTTATTTATTCATTCATGAGAGACACAGAGAGAGGCAGAGACACAAGCAGAGGGAGAAGCAGGCTCCACAAAGGAAGCCCAGTGTGGGATCTGCAGGGCTTGATCCTGGGACTCCAGGATAATGCCCTGGACCGAAGGCAGGCGCCAAACCACTGAACCACCCAGGCATCTCCCCTCATTTCCTTTTATATCTTATATTTAACCTGAAGTTTTCATGCATCATGTTGACCCTGATGACCTGGCAACTTCATTTATCTTGCAGGTTCCCGCATTGGTCGTTCTAAAATTGGCTGATACATCAAACAGCAAGAGTAGCAGTGTAAACTACTCTGATGGCCACTGGAAAGAGTAACTGTCCCTACCTGGTCATATCCCAGGGAGCTTCATTGTCCTGATAAGTGCCCTTCTTGAAAGTGTGTTGGTTACATTGCTTCTGCAAAGATCAAAGAGAGATAGGTTATCCTTGGTCACCTTTCAGATTTTCTACTTGTCAAAGTAAGAACTCTGTTCACTGTACGTGTGTCTCATGCACTTCTAGGTGAGACCGTGGCAGGAGATCACATGCAGGGTAGATCCAGGAACTCACATTGGCTTAATTTGAAAAAAAAAAAAATCTTTTCAGTTGTTAGGGTGCCTGAGTAGCTCATTTGGTTGAGCATCTGACTCTTGATTTTGGTTCAGGTCTTGATCTAGGGTTGTGAGTTCAAGCCCTCCACTGGGTTCTGCGCTGGGTGTGGAGCCTACAAAAACAAACAAACAAAAACTTTTGAATGCAATTATTTATCGTAAAATTCTATTTAAAAAGTGACACATCCAGGAGAAAATTGTGAAAGGACAACAGCTTGGCATGCCAGCCTTGGAACAAGAAGCTGGATAGCCTGCCAGGCAGCAGGTCTCTTTTGACACTCTTGGCTGGAACAGATGAACTCTGTTTCTTCTGTCAGTGCTTTGCTATGCTTTAGAGTCAAAGTCCTGGGAAAAAGAGTCTGGTTGGCTGAGTTTAGGGCATGTGCCCTGCCCTTGGCAGTGGCAGATCTGAGAGGAAGGATTAGCAGAAGGAATCTCCAGGGATCTCTTTGGATTCCCTAGTGTGAGGCAGGCACATGAATTTTACCAAGACTTCATGCTATGTGGGAAAATAATTACCCAGGTGAAAATCAGGGTGCTTTTGGGAAGTGGGAATGAAGGCCAAGCATCCAAAAATGCCATTATCTACCACTAAGAGCAAAAAAAGTGATCATGGGATGCCTGAGTGGCTCAGTGGTTGAGCATATGACTTTGGCTCAGGGCGTGATCCCGGGGTCCAGGATCGAGTGCCACATCAGGCTCCCTGGAAGGAGCTCACTTCTCCCTCTGCCTGTGTCTCTGCCTCCCTCTCTGTGTCTCTCATGAATAAATAAATAAATAAAATATTTTAAAAAGTGATCATTTTAATGGCATTAAAGCCCATGTACTCATGAATCTGTTGAGTTGATATGTACTGATTTATTTTATGATTTTCCAGTTGTTAGATTGCTTCCTTTTGTTTTCTATCCTTCAATAAATAGTCCTAAGCACATACATTAAAAACAAATATTTTCTTAGGACAAATTACCAGGTCTGGAATCATTGGGTCAAAAGATAACACACGAGTATTTAAACTTTTTCATTTTCTATTTTACTGAAATGCTGATGGACTCAGAAAGTGTAGCTCTGATCATTGTAGACTGGCTTTCCAGTGACTGAATAATTGCCCAGTTGAGGTTCACCCTGTGAAACTTCTCTCTGGGTAGTAGCAGGGGCATTTGCATTCCTGGGAAAAATACACTCTTTAGAGATCTCCTTTTTCCTTCTACTAACACTTTTAAAAAAATATTCATTGCTATCTGGATCAAATGAAGTACAAGGTCTCTACTTTGGTCAATTGATTCACATGTTATAGAAAGGAGGGCAGTGTTTGAGAGATCTGTGGGCAGTGGGGAGTGCCTACTGATATACGTCAGCATATAAAACATAATTATATATATTATAATTATAATGTTATTATATAATATATAATATACCTAGCTCCCTCTTCTCCATGCCAAGTCTCTCCGAATCTAGGGGCAGGAAAAGCAGTGGATTTCGCTGACAGGGCATTCTACCCGAGGAAGGTACTGGTTGTGTGTCTTGACCCACATCTTTTTGAGCCAGGTTCTTCTAACTCCAAAGTTAGAAGAGTCCTAGATTTCTTCAGAAGATTTTAACTTATATGTAAGGGAATTGGAAAAATCCCTCCTATAGCCCCCCTGCCATATCCATTTCCCATTTCTCCACCCTGACTTTCCTGGGGATGTCCACTTCTTAGCCAGGCTCCCAGGGTACCTGGACCAGGCAGCAATGTGTTTTGTTTATAATTCTCCCTATGCCGCTTATTCTCCATGGCTAGTGTACACCAGATTGTAGAGGCCTGGAGACTAGGAATGGTCTCACCTTGGTATTTCTTGCAGCACTTTCCACAGTGTCTTGCTCATTCCAGGTACTTAATATTTGCTCTTTTTTTTTTTTTAAAAGATTTTATTTACTTATATATGAGAGAGAGAGAGCAAGCCAGCAAGGGAGGGGCAGAGCGAGAGCAAGAGTGAGAGGGAGAGAGAGAGCAAGAGGGAGAGGGAGAGGGAGAAACAGATTCCCCGCTGAGGAGGGAGCCCAACACAAGGCAGGATCCCAGGACCCCTGAGATCATGACCTGAGCGGAAGTCAGATGCTTTAAGTGAATGAGCCACCCAGGCATCCCAATATTTGTTGTCTTAAGTGGAATAGTTCTGGTACTTTCTTGAGGTCTAAATTCTTCCAAGTTGTGTCTCAAGGTGCTAGAAAAGGTGAACATCCCCTAAAAACAATCAGGAAATCCTAGAGGGTTTCTGAACCCCATGCTGAGTGTTCTGGAAGAAAAGAGCTAAGCCTGGTGCAGTTGCAGATGGATGGGTACTTATTCCCTTTTCAGGCGTCAGCCCATGATGCTTGAGCCAGACAGCCTTTTTCAGTTTCTTTCTTTCTTTTCTTTCTTTCTTTCTTTCTTTCTTTCTTTCTTTCTTTCTTTCTTTCTTTCTTTCTCCCTTCCTTCCTTCCTTCCTTCCTTCCTTCCTTCCTTCCTTCCTTCCTTCCTTCCTTCCTTCCTTCCTTTCAAGATTTTATTTATTGGGGCACCTGGATGGCTCAGTGGATGGGTGTCTGCCTTTGGCTTGGGTTGTGATCCCAGGATCCTGGGATTGAGTTCTGCATGGAGCTCCCCGCAGGGAGCCTGCTTCTCCCCCTGCCTATGTCTCTGCCTCTCTCATGAATAAAATAAAATATTTTTTAAAAGATTTTATTTATTTACTCATAAGAAACACAGAGATATCCCAGCCTTTTTCAGTTTCTTTTACTAGGTCTCTGACCAAAGTTTCACTGGGCATGTTTCTCCCTTCTCTAGATCATATCCTCTTCACCTGTACCCATTAACTCCTCATCCATCAGCTTTCACTCAGCTCTATGGTTAATTCCTCACTTACATCTCAGAAAAGGCCAAATTCATTTTGTATGTAGTATCATGTACAGCTCTTTCCTAGCACTTATCAGTGATTTTGTTTAATATTTATATTTGTAATTATTTGATATGTTCTCTCTCTCTGACTGGAGAATATTAATCCATGAGGGCATGAATTATTTCCTTCACAAAAGTGCTTGTTTTGTTTACTTGTTGTCTTCTTAGTTCTAGGGTCCTCCCTGGCATATAGTGGGTACTCTCAATATTAGAGGCATGAGTAATAGTTTCCCCACAGCACACGCATGTATCCACAGCACCCCTGGAAAATACAGAGTATATTCAGGGTTCTCCAGAAAAACAGAACCAACCAATGGAATACATAAATATATGTTTTTATTGTGGTATAAATATATGTATTATTTTTGTTGTAGTATATTACACATAATATAAAGTCTACCATTTTAGCCATTCTAAGCGTACAGGTAAGTGAGATTAAGTATATTTACATTGTTGTACAGCTTTCACCATTATATTTTATAGATTACTAGTTTGCACACTTATTGTATAGCATCTTCATATCTTGGATATGAAGCACGAAGGATATATATATACACAATACTGAGAAGTCCCACAGTCTTCTACTTGAAAGCTGAAGAACCAGGAAAGCTGGTGGTATAAGTCCCAGGCCATGTCTGAAGCAGGAGAACCAGGAGCACCAATATCTGAGGGTAGGAGAGGATGGACATGTCAACTCAAAAAGAAAGAAGGCATTTGCCCTTTCTCTGCCTTTTTGCTTTATTATGGCCCTCAATGGATTGCAAGATGCCTACCTGCATTGGTCACCCCCACTCAAAGGGTGGCCTCTAGATGGGCTACTTGGCATTACCCCCCACCTCTGCCTTAGTTGATCATTTGAGGGAGAAGCCTCTAGGTTTAACCAGGATAGAGCATGGCAGTCTCTCAAACTGGTTTGATGCCCAGATTGAAGTAGATGTGATAGGGGAGCATCTTTTAGTGCAGGAAGTGACATTGTTTATAGATAAATCTGGAAATGGTGAAGCCATTCAATTCTCACAAAGGAAGCTTCCAAGAAGCTAAAGTCAATACTTGGCTGATGCAGAGCTGAGAAAAATCACAGAAAAATAAAGTCGTAATAAATCTACAGAAGACTGTCCTCTCTCTTCAGGGTGGATTTTAGTGATATGACCAATAATTTCTTGTTTGCATTATTTTGGCATTTCCCCCCTTAATACTTGTGAGGAAAAGCAGCCTGATACAGTCTGAAAGACACCCAAAGATTTATCTTGCTTTTCTTCTCTTTATATCATTTACATTTTGCCATAGCTGTAACTTATATACCTCACTCATAAGGTGTCAGGCTGCAGCAGAGATTGCTAGGTTCCTGCTCAAAATCTATATTGTCCTTTTTCTCTTTGTAAGAAAATTCAAGTTTCATTTAGGTGGCAGTGTCCTTGGATAAAATACCACATTTTCCATTTTCCCTTGCAGTGAAGTATGGCCATGTGACTAAGTTCTGGCTAATGAGATGAAAAGCAGAAATGTCTAAGACCTGCAGGAAGGTGAACAAAATGCTGACTCAGCTGGTGGGGGGCGGGGAACGATGCACACTTTTATCCTTTCCCGTCCTCCTTCACAGAGGAAGCTCTGGGAGCCACCATGTATTATGAGGTGAAACTGAGGATGGAGCCCAGTGCTTCCCTGGCGATTGTAGAATCATATCAGACTATTTACTTCTGGACTTTTACATGAGAGAGTAATTTAAACTATGTTATTTTGGATTTTCTGTTACAGTGTGTCTGAACCTAATTCTAACTGACTCAGCCTGAAACATATCCAAAGATTGAGTAGAACCCACATTTGACTTTATAGGTGGCAACATTGTTACTCATCAGGGAAGACAACATTGTACATAGCAGAACCAACATAAAGAGGTTCATCTGTATTAACCTCTACTTTACCTAGACTGGAACCTGACCAATTTGCATTGTTTCAAATACTTAACTAATCCAAGCACTCAGCAAAGCATGACAATGCTTACCTGACATACATACTTGAATGTCTCCCAGGCACCTA